ATCTGGGTATGGTGACTTTTTAAAAAGAAGACTTCCAGTTTAGTTCATGTTTGGTTATTTCCATTTTCTCCCTTACCATTGGTCAAATTTGATAACATATTCCTAGGAAATCCTTCTTGTCATTTTCAGATTTATTTCCATTTAATATGGTATATATTTATTTTTCTTTATTCTTTACTCACATTTGCCAGAGATTTGCCTATTTTATTATTTTAAAGAACTAGCTCATGCTTTTACTTATCCTCCTTTCATCTTTTTTTTTCCTTTTTCTTAAGTTGGCTCCTTTTCGTGGCCAGGACTATCATGAGGCAAGTGAGGAATTCTTCAGCACAAAATTTAAGGAGTGTTCAAAAATTCAGTAGTCAAGAGAAACTATATTTTAATGCAAAATTTTAAAAATCAAAATTAATGCAAAAAATCCATAATGGATCAAAATTTTAGATAAAGATGGCATCAGTATGACTTAATTTTTCTTTTTTGACTCAGGCTCCAATATGGCTCCCGACGGCACTGCTTCTTGGTTTGTTGATTTTCAGGCTTGAAGAAAGCCTTTCAAAGTGTGGAAACTGTGGACAAGTCTCTGTCTCTATGACTGTGAAACCCCTCTTAGGCATCTTTGATGAACTGTGTTATCTTTCTTTAGCGAACAGTAAGAATCTTTTAAGACACTACCAGTGACAGATACAAAGGTACCCCTCAAAGCTTAAATTCTAGAAGAAAGACATATGTACAAATGTGGAAAATTTAGGTGACATCAGGTGAAAAATTCAGAGAAAAGATTATCTGGCAAATAATATCAGGCTTACAGTTTTAATGCTTCTGGATTAACTGCTAAAATCCACCAGGTGGTGGAATAAAATGAGTTACAGTGCAGTTTAGCTTTACATATTTTCCTAGTCAGAGATGTAATTTTACAGAGAAACTGACAATTACATATTTACATTTTTATTAGCCTACTCATGAATTTTCTATTGTATCTTTAATTTTTACAAATTAAAATGTATGTATTGAAAGATTAAAGATTTTTAACCATTTTATATCCTTTCTAGTGCATGGCAGTATATAAACAAACCAAAAAACCTCTAGTTTAAAATAGGTCTGGAATTCGGTTTAAAACAAAAGAAAACAAAAAAACCAGAGGCAACCCCTCCTAGAAGATGATTATCTTCAGCTATCAGGTTTTAGTAAAAAACGAGGCCCTAATATTAGGCATTTTAGCTAGAATTATCACATAAAAGGTTAAGATTATTGTATTCTCTTTCATACAGTTCTTGTGTGACCTATTTTCTCCTATTCAGAAAATTTTCAAGTTTAATAAAATTTATCTTAATGTCTGTATAATGTATCTTTCATGTATATCTTTATTCATTATTGATAGTGATAGCAATCTTGTGTGTATTAAGACATCAAAATTTTTTTTATCATGAATCCAAATTGAAGTTCAAGTGCCTTGCTGTAAGTCACAAAATTCATCAGTGGTCAGACTATCCTGAGGTCTCCAAATCCAGGTCCCGCTTTTCATCATGCTTCATCATCTGACAGTCCTCACTGGATAGAGATGAATTCAGACAGTTATTAACAATTTATGTTGACCTAACTAGGACCTATGGAATTCTAAAAAGAGGTAAAAAATTGAATGATTGTTCCTGAGGAATTTGCAATCTAATGGGATTAACAGTACAGGAATAATTATGCCTTATTATCAAAAATAAAAAATATATACGTAACCAAAAAACTTTTAAACAAATATATAGCCATACATTATGGACTAAAATACTATCCTATCTAAAAACTGAGTGCATTTAATTCAACTTACAAGTATCTACGTGCCTACTAGGTGCAACGTGTCTTGCTAGGTACTAAAATATTTTTTCTTACTGAATTTATCATCTAATAGCATGACCTAGGTTATATTGCTAACCCAGGTTAGGTTAGTTTGCTAACCCCAGATTACAAAAAAAAAGCTAATAAAATAGCATATTTTATTTCTAAATTGATTTTTAAAAATAAAAATATAATTAATGTTAAATTATAAACATTAAGCTGATTGTCAGTACCAATGAGTGTTAGCTTTGGGATTTTTCTGTTCTTGAAAAAGAGTAAGGAAAATTTGGGATGTGATCTTGACTATAACAAAGCCTTTCCTACTGTTCTTACTTATTGGAGCTCATTCATATGGAAGAATAAATAACTATTTGTTGAATTGAAAATGTTTGCCCCCTCTCTTCCCCAAATTTCATGGTCCTTGATTTTTGTGGAGTTGCTGCTGTCTTACCTCTGTTTCTCAGTCTCCTCTTCCATCCCCTCCTCACAGCACTTCTTTTTGTGGTCTGCCTTTGGGCAGTTTCATCCATTCTCACACTTGGAGTGACTCCTAAACCAACATCTGTAAACTTGACCTTTCTGAATGTAGCATTTCTAATTAACCTCAAAATTTTTCTTTCTTGCTATGCACATTCCACCTTAAATTCAACCAGTGAACCCAAACTCATCGTCTTGCCTTCTTAAAACTAGCATCATCTTCCGAAACTCCTATTTCTATTGGCGTAAAGAGAGTGTCACATATGCTTTTGCAGACTGTACGCTGAACAAAAGGACTCAGCTGAGGTTTGAGCGGGAGCTGAAACTATACTCTGTTCACAAGTGATGCACTTGGGTGCAGGACTGCATCAGCTGTAAGCCTTGTAGCACTTCCTCCACCCAGAGAGGACGCCTTTGTCTAGTTCACACAAAGGTGGCATATGTGCTATTGGAGGCTCTGAGTATCACCACCTTTTTCTTCCAGTCACCTAGTTCAGAAACTCAGAATCTCCATTCATTCTTCCCTCTTTTAGTCCCCCATATATAATATTGTTGCATTCATCCCTTTCTTTTCATGCACAATACTAGGAGCCGAGTGTAGTCTAATGCCTCATTCTTGAACTGTTTTAACGACCTCTTCATTTAACTGTTCCTCTTTGTCCTTTCTCTGCTCCTGTCTTTCATTCACCCTCCTACAGATTACCTTTCATTTAAGTGTAGTTTTAGCTTGTCATTTCATTGCTCAAAAACTTCACAGTTCCTTACTACTTAAATTATTAAGAACAAACTCTTCAGCCTGTCATTCTTCAACCAGCCAACCAGCCAGAGTCTAAAATATGTGTGGCACCTTGTGCAGTATCTTGTGTCTTGTAATTCCTCAGTAAATATTTACTAAATTATTTAAGACCTCCTACAATATTTTCCCAATGCCCATCTTCCACTTAGATCCAACTAGTTCCCTGTATATACCCTAGCCACCATTGTGAATGACTTGATATTTACAGAACTGATACCCAACTATGCTGTCTTCATCACTTTATTATTGCTGATTCATTCACTTGGGGTGTTATCCATGCCCAAATTCTCAAAATCTGTTCCTCTCAGACTTTCCTTGTCTGATCCGTGTCCTTGTCATTTCCTTTAGATGGAATGACACCTTTATTATGGCTCACTTGCCATTTTATTTTCTTATTTTAAAGTCACCCTTGGTTTGTTCCTCCCACTAGATGTTAAGCTTCTTGAGGCTAACAAGTCTTTCTTACTTGTCTTTGCCTCCTCTTGAGCCCCCAGTTCAATGAGGAACATAGAGATGTTAAAAAATGTTTGTTAATTGAGCACCATCACCCATTTTTAAATATGCACAGAAGATGGGGTGACTAAGCTTTCAGAGGAGAGGTACCATTACTTAAAAATGGAAAAGAAAAATGATTATCAAGGATCTGCTGTTTTAAAATTTTTCCCTGATAGTAACTAGACAGAAGTAAATACAAATTTTGATATCATTGGATTTAATATGTAAAGTTTGATTGAATTAACTTATTCCACTTTTTTTTTTTTTAGAAAGGTGCTGAATTCCAGGAGCGTGAGAAGATTCTGTCTCCAGATTTTCTTTCAGTTGCACAAATCACTGAAATGCTGGCAGAGGATGTAGATGGAGTTCAACAGTAAGTACTTCAATATTACAACCAAATATAGAACAGTTCTAGTTCTGCATCTATAGTGACCATGATATGTTGTTACGTATTTTATTTACTTATTTAGTTAGTTAGTTGAAAGGCTAAGAAGCTTTAATCTAGGCTGTATTATTAATTAGCCAAAGGAACTCAGGCAAGATATTTAGCCTTCTTGAATATCAGTTTTTCCATTCATTTGTAAAATGAAAGTAATTAAATTAAATTTCAAAGTCATATGTGTTGTTATATATTTTAAGCCTTTTTATAATGCTTGTTATTATATTGCACACTGATATATATATAAGTAAATGATCTACTGTATATGTATATGTGTATGTATGTATATGTATATATATATATGTATATATCAAGGCTCTGGAACACAAAAATTCTCAAGCAATTGACTTTTTGCACTGTTCAGCAGTGTTCATTATGGGAGAAATGGATTTCAAACCAATTTGTTAATCTTAACAGAGAGTAGGGATTTATTATTAAAAACAGCTATTAACATATATCATCTTCTTTTCTTTTTCATTTGTAAAACTGACTGTCAGTATGCACAAGAACCTTTAGGTCTTCTGTCTCATCATGACAAAAGTGAGTTGTGTTTTCTGTAATATTAATAGTTAATATATTTTATAATTTTGGAAATACTGAATATTAACCATCCACCTGTGATTTTTATTGGATGTTAAACTATACTAAGTACTCTGATCTCATATATTTTGCTTAAATATGTGAATATAACTGAAATTATAGGCAACAATTCTAATATATATATGTCTGATTCTTAAGGCCGCTGATGTCTACAGTAGATCATTTACTTAGAACTCTAAAACATACACTCTGATAGAGCTACCACACAAATTCCTAAAAAGTGCTTTTTAGTACTCACTCATTTTAAAAATGACCTCACTCTAACAGTGGAAGCCTGACTGGTTATAATGTGTGGAGAATGGAGACAATGTGATGATGTTCTAGACTGTAATGTTCCAGGGTAAGATTTCTGTACGTCATTCATCTGGATATAAGCAGGACCATAATGGGCAAATCGAAAGTGACTCTGTCAGTGGTTATCATTTGAACATTTTACAAATATTATGGAATAGAGGTGAATTGCTACTGAGAAGGAAATATGACAGATGGACTGGCTGGAAGAGAAATCTGAGTAGAAAAGGCGTATTAAGAGCAGGCAAATGACATTGATAGGCCTTTTCCCAAGATGCTGTGCACCTCCTGCTTTCAAATCCTACGAGAAATCCCAATGATCTGTGATTTAACCACACTGCTTACTATCTGCACCTTTAAAAATATTAGTCAATTAAAAATTTCACAGGTTTTAAACAAGTATTTCATGGTGATTTCACCATTTTTATAGAAATGAATGCTTATTGGGAATTCTTATTTTTAGTGTCAGAATTGATTAGAAAAATGCATTTATTATATTCATAGCACTGATTTTTTAAGCCTCAGGTAAAATATAATCTTCAATTTCTAGGTAACCCCAAATGTTATTGGTTGTTGACATGTAAAAAATAGATATTTAATACTAAGCAGATAGTAGATTAATATGATGTAAATGATATATATTTAATATACTTTATAATTTATTTGTATTAAATAATATATAAAGGGTGTTATATTAAATGTCGTTAATATTAAATAAAAGATATTGGAAACAAATGCTTTTTGAACTTGTCTATTTCTCACCACACCTTAAGTTGTACTATGTAGGACAATCTTTTGTGACAGTCTTATTCTTTTTTTTGATTATTGGCCTTCTTTGTTTTTAAATATCTAAATTCTAAAAGTATTTTTAATCTTTAAGAGGTGAGGTGTAGGACAAAGTAAATGAGGATAATACACAGGGTAATAGAAACAACCAAGTGCAACAGCAGGTTGACCTAAAAGATCATCCATTTAGGATGCGTCTATGACCATCTCATTAATAGAATTCACCTGGAGTAATCTCAAATTTTAGGACATCAATTTTAGATAAATGACACCAGTGTTATAATAGGAGCCATTTCTTTGCAAAGTTATTTTCTTGAGGTTCTTCATGTGATTTTTGGTAACAGTAATCCTGAAATATTTGCAATCAGTCATTCACTTTCCATTTAAAATAGCATTATTGTAAATGGGGATTATATACTTTTCAAAATGACAGAAATATAATTGAGGTATCCAAATGACAATATCATATAGTCTGCGAAACTGTAAACCTACTTAAATAAACTATAGGACACCAGCACATTTCCCTACCTTTTAAAATTAAAAATTTTGCCCCATAAAAGCAACCAACCAAATGAAACATTAAAATATCATTGAAACATATTTCTGGAGTGTACTTCAAGCAAAGTTAAATGTCTGAGTATATTTTTCATGATCTCCTAACTACTAACAATCATTCATGTTTTAATTTAACCCTCATATTATTTACAGATCCACCCAAATCCCTTTTGAAGAAAGGATAGGGACTAAATTGAGAGTAACTATTTAAATATGGAAATAACATGGAGAGATCTTTTAATAACCTTTCTATAACTTGTCTCCATGAGTTGTTCACCTCTTGCCTTAGGGCTTATGTCTACATGTCATTGTATTTAAAAAATAAAATGCATTCCAATTTCAGGAGAATGCAAGAATAATGTAATATTTCTACTAAAATTCTTGGTGAGACAAAGTAGATAGTTACATCACCTATCACTATAGCAAAATTTCCTAAATCACTATTAAGCATCTTAGTCTTTCCCTGCATTCTCTCATGCTACATCTGTGCCCATCTCTCCCCTCTGGCCTATACCATCTCCCTTTATCCCCAGAGGAAGAGCTTACAAATCTGCCGGTAAAATGCATGGAAATTACATTCAAACCACAAAGGTATCTTGCTCCAAATGCTTCCTTGTATAGTCTTCTTTGTAGTGAAATAACTGAACAAAGAATAGAAATGTTAAATATTTAGCCCTGCAGCTCAGGTTGAAGGTTAGGTTTCAAATGGTACAAGGAAAAGTGATGGAGGGGACATAAAGGAAAGAGAGTAAAGGTGGAGGGGCCCAGAAGAGATTTCACCAAAATAATCTTAGGCAAATGTCTTTGTTAATATACAATTAAAAATTGAAAAAATTAAAATGTAAAGCATATAACTATTCAGGTCAGATATTTAATTTAAAAAATAACCTGCAGATTGCAGATGAAGAATATTTCACTTAGAAGGAAGACTAACTGTTGGAAACAAGAAAATATTAGACAAAAGCTGATGATTAAAGAGGGCATTAATTCCATAAAACAAGAGATAAAAGAAGAGATTATAAAATATGTAAATAAGAAGTTTTTAGAACTAAGGCAAGAAACTAAAGTGAAGAATAAAACCAGTGTAGAACTTAACCTTGCTGAAAATCCAGTCAGTAATGTAGAAAACAAATTCAAGAAAACTTACTCAAAAATGCACATTAAAGCAATTAGAATATGTTAGAATATTCATCCAACATAGTGAATCAGAAAAAAATTTTAAACTTTATAAAGTAAAAACTTTGATTTAAATATTTTAATAAAATAAAACTTCATGCATTTTGCTTATCTCTAGGGTAAAGCAAGTCACCTCAAGAGGATAATTATCAGGCAGGCCTCAGACTTTTCCTTAGCAACATCAGGTAGCAGAAATCAGTGGAGTGACAAGTAACCAAAATTTAGGGAGTCAAAAGAATACAATTTAGAATAAAATACTAATTTAAGTTGTTTTAGTTAATGCACCTGGATTTTGTTTGAATGTATTGGGTGAGGTAGTGTTATATTTTCTATGTGGATAGCCAATGCTGCCAGCACCATTTTTGAAGAATTCATACTTTCCTCACTAATTTGAAATACTGCCTCCCTCATATACCAATTCTCATTTATATTGGGTCTGTTTCTGGTCTTTCTACCTGTTCCATTGGCCTATTTGTTGATTCCAGTAAAATACCGTAGGTTTTTATTACTACAGAAATTTTCTTACTGGCTTTCACTTAAGACTAAATGACATTATACATTAAACATTGAAAAATAAATCTTGCTGACTGATACTGAATTCAAATTCAGGGTGCCTGGCTAGTAAGGTAACCGCCCTCCCCAGAGTGCCTGCCCATTCATTTCAGCATCTCCCAGTTGAGTTGTGTACTTGACAAAATGTATTAGTTGGGGTGCTTCTTGTTGCTTGTAACATAAAAAACTGATCATGTTGACTTAAAAACAAAGTACACATGCCTTTACACATGTGTATGTAAAATATCACGTAACAGGATATTCAGAGATAGATTGACTTCAGGGTTGGTTGACTCAAGTCGTCAAGAAATGAAGCTTAATTTTGGGACTGGTTTTTCTTATGGTTATAAGACAGCTGCCAGTAGCAATGAAAGCTAGTTATTTCCTCTTTTGTATTTTTGTTCCACAGAAGAAAATGAGCCTTACAGTTAGTTATGAATTAACTAGAACAATTTAGAGGAGTGCCCACCAAGAGCAGTAATTATTACACAGAATGCCATATACTGAAAGGCATTATATGGCATCATGAGAAGGGAGATGAGATTATCATAACTGCAGAGAGGACCCAGATCTCCCTTTGGGGGTTAAGGTCTGATACCGCTGAAAATGAAATGAATGCTAGAGAGTGAATTAAACACAACATCAGCATTATTTATTTCCAAATTTATTTAATCTTGCTGTATTTATTACTCTGATCATATAATTTATTTCAATATTATGAATAATAAGAAAGTGGCAATATAAAGTTGCCGTACACACACACACACACACACACACACACACACACACTTCCTCAGAAATCACATATAAGGAACAAGGTAAAACCAGTTCCATCCTTGTCCCAAAGAGGAGAATGCTGAAAGCCCAAACCATAAAATGTAAGGATGCCTTCCAGAAGCATCAAGCAGAAGTGCAGGATAAAATACAAGGAAAATGTACATAGTTGAAGATACTAGAATGAACTTTAAACTTATTTCTCCAGGTGACAAGAGAACCTTGAGGTGCCATTCCAAGAACCCTTGTTTGCAACAGCAAAACCAGAATATACAGGCATAGAGCAGATACTTCCCATATTTACAAGAAATAGATTGTTTCTGTGATAGTAAAGAGAATTGATATTTTTGCCTTTTCTCCACTAATTGTAAAAAGAAAAACTAGAATAATTGACATAAACTTACTTCATATAGAAAATAGTTTGTAATATGGCCAGGTTTGAGTTCTAAGCAAGGAGTATATACACAAAGACATTGCAAGAAAAAAACTTAAGAATAGTAAAAAAGCATTGACAGGCAAAGAAAATAGACCAGAAAAATATGGCCATGAACAGACAAAAAAAATACAGTCAAATATTTATTGTGAATTAAGAATACTTATGGAGCAATCACAAGAGCATCGAAGAGAGAGGGAAAAATTCAAGGCTGAGATAAGAAGAAACAAAAGGTGATGAAACATTTTTTTAAAAGGTAGTTAAGGAAAGATCTTGCAGAGGTGAAATTTACAAGCAGCCCATAGGAGAATTACCGCTGTTGAAAACACAAGAGTCATAGAAGACAGTAATGAGAAAAGCATATAAAATGAAAAGGGAATTGATTAGAAAAAAAATTTTTTTGAATGTTAAAGAGAAAATTACAGCTATAGAAAAAAATGAGTAAAATACCCATAACTGGAATTCTTTAAAAAAGGAAACAGAATAAATATTTAACAATCAAGTTCCAGACCATTGTGAGAAATAAAAGAAACTTGATTGTTTAAATGGAAAGAGACATTGAATTTGAGAGAAAAAAATATAAGTAAAGTGACTATATTTCAAAGGTGGAATAAGAAAGAGAGAGGGGAGGAAAAAGAGATTTAGAAGAAGAGAGAAGTGGAGGGAAGACCATAAAGAGTTTGCACACTCTCTCTGTTTTGAATGTCATTTTGGACTTAGAGTTTTGATATAACTCTGAATATTTTTAGATTATGAGCATTATAGAATTTTTATTCAATAAAAATATGTTTTCAAAACAGAAAAGGAACTATTCAATATTTAATCAATTTTAATGTCTAGGTTTTTCTTTTTGTTACAGGAAACTGCAAAAGTTTTTGAATTTCAAAAATCTTCAAACCTGTTTAAAGGAAGCCAGTCTACTAGATTATTATGTATCTGGATTTTTGTGGGCTAGAGGAATGGACTTTTCCATTATTCAGCATTCAAAATTTATGACTTTACTAGATATGTTACTTCATAATCTTAGAAGTAAGTACATTATTTTTTCTTTTTTAAGAAAAGAAAATTTAGTCCCCTGTCTAAATTAATGCTCTTAAGCAAAAATTCCCAATTCCTTCAATGAAAATTATGGGTAGTTTGGAAAATTATGGGTTTTTTTCCTGGGTATAGCAAAATAATAGTTCATATCTTCATAAAGTTATAAAACTTCAAATAATACTTAACAAGGCTGAAGTTCTCTGAATAATTAATTTGCCAAAGATATGTTAATTTCAATTCTAAATCTTATCAGTGCCATCCATCCCCAGAATGTCAAATAGTTCAGATTTATCTCAATATCTTTTTATTGTTTTAACTGTTTTCATCTCGACCTGTTTTCATCTCGACCTACCTGGAAGTATTACTGGGATATCTTAGAATTACTCTTAATAGGAAGTACTTTGGTCAATATCAAAACCTCATGAAATGGACATTACTCACATCCACTTAGATTTTGTGACTTTTTTTCCTATATAACATTGAAATTAGTTGCTACAGGAAATTTGGAAATTTTTCCTTGGAGCAATTTCAAATGTGATGACTTTTGCTTGAAAATAAACAGAATTGCTTCTTGAAAGGAGGAAAGAAAGAAATCTATCATTTATTTGCTGCCAACTCTGTGCTAGGCAGTATGTTTGGTTCTAATCTTTTAACATATATTATGGAACTCAGAGCAACTCCTGCAGGTCAGGCATCATAACCACTATCTCAGAGTTGAGCAAACAGTCCAGAGAACAAGGTTGCTTAGCTAGCTGGGAAATGGCAGAACTAGAACTTGAATCTCAGAACACAGTAAATGTAAAGGTGTTTGTGTCTCAATAGAAAGACATGGTTTTTTCTGTGGGAAACAGCTTATTTGGTTCCTTTCTTCATTCCCTCCATTTCCCTTTTTCTTCTACTTTTCTTTTTGGCTGTTTTCTTACTTTTAGTTTATTTTTTTTAAAATGTGGGCAGGTAGAAGACCTTGCCACCCCTAAAAAACTGTCACCATCATCCTAGCAAAATTTGTGGATGGCTTGTACTTACACAAAGACTGTTCCATTCCATATAAATTTCTAACTACACAGATGCAGGGGAAATAGAAAGTGAGTTAGCAAAATTAACAGAGAAGCCACTCATGCCCTATGCATTCTTCCTGCTCCTCACCACCCTTAACATGGGAAGAATTGGTATTCTTGTAAGTCAGGAAAAGAAATAATTGTTTTCTTTCTCTGCAAATGGGAGAATTTCATCTTCGCTTTAACTTATGTGGTGCCATAATAAACATAAATAACTGTACCAATAGAAGAAAAAAATAATTATACTTGATAATTTAAGAAGTTGTGTAATATTAACTGATTTTAAATTATCCTGCACAGGAGAAGCATGGTTTTAAAACTAAAACTAAAAGTGAAGCCTCAGGTAGTTAGTGTTGAGAATTCAGTCTTTTCCAATACTACAATTAAAGATGCATATTTTATTAAGAGACCTGATAAATGATATAACACTGTTTCAGTTTCAGTTGTTGAACTACAACCTTCCAAAAAAGAATTCTTAGTAAATCTAAGACTTGAGCTATTTTTTTCCCACATGACACAAATATTTGTAGAATCTTTGAGTACTACATGTCTCTAAAGATATTCCTTTCAACACTATTGCAACACTATTTCCAGAATTTGGGGCAAATAAAGAACCATGTAAATCTCAACTTGCATGGAAAATAATAATAAAGAGATGCCAACAATAAGAAGAAATGGATATTGAGATTATGTGGCAAAAACTTCAAAACAGCTATTATAAAAGAGCTTAAATGAACAGTTGTGAATATTATTAACATGTAAAGAATCATGAAAGAAACAGAAGGTATAAAAAAGAAACATTAAAATTTTAGAACCAAATTATACAGTGACCAAAATTAAAATTTTACTGGGTGG